ATATACATATATATATATATGTAGTCTGGCTGTACTCATATGCTCCAGAAAGGCAGGCCGAGGATCCCGGCTCTCGGGTATTTCCTCAGCCATCTCCGCTATTCCGCCGCTGGGGAAGCCTGAAATGGCCGAACCCGTGCCACAGGCGGCCAGAACCATGATCCTGTCGCCCGGTCTGAGCTGGCCCCGGATGTCCGGCATTTCACATAACTGTCCGATGGCGCAGCTGACCTCCTGGCTTTTGCTGGGACCTTCCACGACCAGCTGGCCAAAGGAAACCACGAAATCCTGGAGCATGCAAGGCCGTGCTCCACACCAACATAGATCGTAGCCCTCGCTCTCATCTAGGGATATGCTATGATCGAAGCCATCTTGGGATGAGCCGAAGTTCAATGAAAGTTGCGAGACACCCTGCAAGAGGCCGGAGCCGTTCTGATTGGCAGGCGAGAGCTGCAAGGTGCTTTCAGTACCACAACCATTCCGCACAGCCACGCCGTCACCTTGAGACAGCCCAATGCCTTGCACCTGGAAGCCTGTGCAGTCCTGGCCACGGACGCAAGTGAACTGTTGATTGCCGAAGGGTCCGATGACCCGCAGCTCACCGGAAGAGATCTGGAAGTCCTCGGCTTCGACACACGTCAAGTCATGCATGTTGGCGCACCAGCACAGGTGGTAGTTCCCACCAAACGGCACGAAGTCCCTGAACACGTACCGACTGCCGCCATCGCTTGCAACCTCGGACATGCCTGCATTGGCAACGCCGGACGCTGCAACCTTTCTGCCAGTACATTCAGATTGGGATATGAGGAGGCGATGTCCATCTTGGAGACTGAACCCGTCCACGTGCAAGTCGCAAACGGTCCCAGAGATACAAGTAAACTGCTGCTCGCCGCGTGGGCGGATGCACAAACCTTCGGTCCAGGACCCAGCGAGCTTCGTGGTCGATCCCCTGGCACACGGAGTGCAGGGTGCGTCTGAGACAGCTCCGGTGGCATTGCTCCAGGTGCCGACCGGGCAGGGCGAGCATTCGCCTCTGCCCACAAAGTCCTTGAAGCGACCTGCTGGGCATTCCTCGCAAGTCTCAAAGCCGAAGTGCCCGGCAGCGCAGACGCAGTCGGCCACGGTGCTGACAGTGACGACCAACGTGGATGTTGACGGCGGGCAAGCCTCTCGGTGGTCTCCACCGTGGCAGAAGAAGCCCAACCCACAAGGCTCACAGCTGGCAGGATCCCCCGGCACGCTGCTGACGTAACCTGCCCTGCAAGCGCAGTTTGCGGAAGACATCATGCCGGACAGCCCTGTCGTCGAACCAAAACTGCAAGCCGTGCAACTCGCGTTGCCCACTGTCGACTTGTACTTGCCTGCTGGGCATGCATGGCAGCTGCCTGCCGAGGCCTCCATGCCAGGCGGACATTGGCATTCTGCCAAACCTCCAATGGGGCCGGGTGGAAATGCCAAAATGCCAGGACACACCAGCAACTGCTCCAGCACGGGTCCCTGAAGAGCCACTGTTGCCAGAGCCCAATCAGTTTCCTGCTGGTCAGAGGATATCCAAGCGGAGAAGGGTGCCGGATCGAACTTTGCATGCAGCTCGGCGGCGAGCTCTGCTTCTGAGCTTGTGATTTCGTAGTTGAGTCTGTCATTGACGACCTTCAGATCCAATGATGCACGTGCCAGTCCCGCCAGCCCAAGGTGGGAGACCAAAGCAGCGCGGAACTCCTCCAAAGTGGTGGCCCCTGCTCCCTCAAGTGAGCCAAAGAAGAAGTGTGCTTCAACTTGTCTGCGTACATCCAGCAGTCCATACGTTGCATTCAGGGCTGAGGCACTTGCCTTCTGTGTGCAGTTGAACAGATCCGGGTCAAGGTTCACGTCGAAGTAGTTGTTCGCACAATAACACTCTTGCAGGGATATGGCTCCAGTGCCCATTGTCGTCGTTCCAACCGGACAACTCTGACAGAACTCGGTGCCCGTCCGATTCTTGTAAGACCCAATGAGGCACGGACGGCAGAAGCTGGACTCTGCGTCCCAGTAAGTCCCGCGGCGACACTGGCAATGCTCCTCAGCACTGGATCGGCGAGCGGAAGTTCTGAAGTCGGGGCAGGGGCGCAACTCAGCCGTTTGACCTCCTGGACAGAAATGGCCCGCCGGACACTCCTGGCACTGTCTGATGCTCAGCAGCTCGTAGGTGCCCGGAGGGCACACCACATCCAACTTCATTGCCACCGCACGGAAGTCCGCTGGAGCACTGCAGTTCGATCTGGACGCGCACCAGCACAGCTGAAGCTTCTCCGGGGTTGTGTACGTTGGCAACATACCGAAGTCGAAGGCGAAGTCATGAGATTCAGTGAGCGCAGCAGAAATAGGCTGTGGATTCGGAAACAAAGAAGATGCGTTCGAGGTGCCGCACAGTTGCATTGGCAGCAGTAAGTCATCCTGCGCAAGCTTCGCCCCCTGCAAGCCGACTACGATGCACTGCGCTCCGACGAAGCACTCGAAGGACTGATCCGGGAAAGGACCCCGCACCAACAAGAATCCCGTGCCAGTAACAGAATCACTCTCTTGAACACATGGTGCCGACACCGAACAGTGCCAGCTGCAGAGGCGATATGTGCCTTGGCAGATGTTGCATTGGCTGAGAAACGGGGGGGGCGCGTGCTGATCGCTTACTGCTCACGGACTCTGATTCACCACAAACATCTGGGCCCGCGACCTGCCAGGATGTTTACGTTCGACGATTTCCCGGAGCCATCGAGCTGTGCGTCGTTCACAAACACGAGCTGGGAATCATTGTACACGAGAAATGCTCGACACTCGCTCTCATTCGAGCAATTCTCCAAGACCGCGAGCCTGTCGGGGCCCCTTGTACAGCCGTGCTGGTGTTCCACAAGGCACTGTTGACCCAGCATACATTCGACGATGAGCGTCGGCACGACTTCTGGGCCAAGATATCGCCAGGTGTCACTTCGGTAGGATGCGTCGAAACCAGCGTGGATGAGCAGACTTCGAGAGTGGGAGTCCCAGGAAGCGACATGGTCTGTTCGGGCTGCAGGCCTGAGGCCTGTTTCGTGGAGGGCCATAGGCATCCAGGAATCTAACAGCAAACTGTAGTTCCAAAGGTCATCAGAGTAGCTGGACTCTCCATCCTCGTGCCGTATGCCTCCATGCACTAGCATGGACATGGTGAGAGGATCCCAGGCGGCCACATGCCCAGCACGGCTCGGTGGCTGTGAGCCGAGAGGCTCAAGCAAGCTCCAGCGCTGATGCCAGCTGTTGAAGTGCCACAGGTCCGCCAACGGCGCCGAACCGGCCCAGCCCGCGAAGACCAGCATGGACTCTGTCGCCTCATCCCAGACAGCTGAGTGGCGACTGCGGGGCGTGGGCCCGGGACCGGCACTTTGCAGCCGCTTCCAGGTGCTGGTTTCTGCTTGGTATGCCCAGAGATCGTTCAACAAGGAGCCGCTCTGGCCCGCGAAGACCAACATCCTGCGCTTCGGAAGCGACTGCCAAACAGCTGAGTGGCCTACGCGGCCTGCCGGGCTGAAAGGAACGGTCGGCTTCTTCCAGGAGTTTTGCCGGAGGCTCAGGATCCAGAGCTCATCATGCAGAATTGTTCCATACTCGCCACCGAAAACCAGCATCTCTTCTTCGATTTCATCCCACACGGCGGTGTGCCCCGCTCGGGGGGAGGGGACCGAGCTGTCTGTCACAAGCTGCAGCCAGGACTGCGTCAGCAAACTGTACAACCAGGCATCCGAGAAGAAGTCGAAGTGGGCACTGGCCTCTCCGGCATAAACCAACATAGAGCTGCGGCTGCTCAGCCACACCGCGACGTGCCTCGTGCGTCTGGCTGGGCTGACCGGGGTGGAGAAGTCACTCCAGGCATCCACGTGGCACACGGCGCCGGCTGCTTCGATGCCGTGGCAATCGTGCACGCCCCAGCCTCGGAACGGGCACGAGCCAAGGTTGGTTTCGTTTCCGTAGCAAGCCAAGCCGTCCATCCAAATGGGCCCCTCTCCCCCAAAACGAGAGATGCTGTTGCCACCTGCAAACCCTAGCTGCCTGCACAGGACCCGTGCATCCACGTCATCCCAGTCATCATCGCACACCGCACCCCACACGCCTTTGTGCAAGACCTGCACCTGGCCACGCATGACAGCGCAATCCGCGCATGTTGAATCGTGAAGGCGGACCTGCACCGAGGTCTCGGTATCTGGCCTGGGCAGCTCAACAGCGGGCAACTGGTTCCCCATTTGGCCGGGTCCATGTCCTATGGTCTGGACGTCCCCTCTACCCAACTTGCCGGATCCCCCGGCTCCCCAGCATTTCACAGAGTCATCATCGAGGATGGCACATGCGTGATGCTCGCTACTGGAAATCTGTCGTGCAGTGCGGTCCACACCCAAATCAATAACTGGTAGCGTGTCGCCGACTTGGGACAAACCGATGGATGCAAGGTTTCCTTGCCCGACCCTCGCATTCCATCCCCAACACTTGACGGAGAAATCATCCAGCAGCGCGCAGCCGCTGCTGAACTGCCGCACAGTACGCGATCCAAAGTCAACCCTGCTTGCTGCATAGCTGCCAAAGGGAAAGCACATTGCCGAGCCGTCATCCATGATAGCACAAGACTCCAAGAAGCGCGTGCCACCATGAATTTCTTTGACCCGCCCCCCTCCCAAGTCCACCGCTGGCATATTGTCACCATCGATCACGTCTTGCCAACATTGCCGATCCGACTCACGGCAAAGTTGCCAACACTTCACTGTGTTATCGTCCAACAATACACAGACTCTGGAGAATTTTGTGCCGGTGTCTGTTGTGGGCCGAAACGACACTTGTCGGGCAGTTCGGTTGGACCCTAGATCCAGAGGACGGTCGATAAGGCCGTCAGATCCACACTTAATCATATAATTGTCCAGCAGAGCGCATGTAACCCACTCGTCACCCGCTTCTACCTGCAGTGCCGTCCGCCCGTCGCCCAGGTCGACCACGGGCAGGTTGTCTCCCATCTGGCCAGGGTACACTCCAACTTTAAAGGCAGCAAATTCGCCGAACACCTTCACCGTGCCATCATCAAGAAGCACCGCCGTGTGCGTGCGGCCAGCAGAGATTTGCACTGCCGTGCGGCCGGTGCCAAGATCAATCGCGGGTAGCTCGTGCATCTCCAGAGGCTCGTCTCCGATGGACTCCCAGCTTCCGTGCCCAAGCTGCCCACCACGACCCCAGCAGCGCACCTCTCCGGAACTCTTGTGCAAGATGCAGGAGTGGGCCCAGCCAACTGACAGCTCTGCAAAAGGCCTCGAGACAACAACTTCTGAAACTACCACGCCGTCCACCGCTGCGCTGCTGGCAGAATCATATCCAGTTGCCATGAACTGCAGGCCGTCCGCAAAGGCGGGAATTACAACTTTGGCCTCATGCCATAGCTGGGATTGGGTCGGATCTCGTCCAGCCTGAATCTCCCACAGAACTTCCCAGCAATTGGAAGTGCAACCGTGCTTGTGGTACCGGAGCTGAAGCTTGCCAGATTGGCCTGGGCGATAAGAGAAGAGCAAGTCCTTGGACTCGGACTCTGCAGGGAAAAGTGGGCTGAGCAATATGCCCCCACCATCACTTCCCATGTACCACTCCCCAGAACTAGCATCACCTCGGACTCTTTGCCAACCCTGCCAATCACAGGCATCCAGCTCAAAGTCGCACGTAACATTCTCGATGCTGGCGACGGGCCTGCCGGGTTTGCGCCTATCCCAAAACAGGAAAGCTTGGGAAACCACCCGGGGTGCTTGTGCATGTACAGCTGCAGGGCAATGCAACCTGCCTCTGCGCACAGAACCGCAGCTTCAGCTGACCGCCAAGGTTTGCTCCAAACTGCACCTTGGACGCTGGCTGTGGGGCCAAAAAACAAAGACCTCAGAAAAAGAGCAGTCATATGCAAATTTCAGATGCAGGTGCCTGATTTCCAGAAACTGGAAAGTCTTGCGGCCCTGGAAGGCCGCCATGGAAGTGTGAATTTGGCACTGCACTTCATAACCAGGAGCGGTCTGAGGGAAGCCAGGGCTTTGCAAGCAGAATCCATCAACCTCGCAGGGCCCGGAAGTTGCCTCGATGGGTGATGGAGTCCATGTGGAGGCCACCTCCAGGGGCACAGCGGCATTATCCACCTACACCCGCAAAGCTGAAACAGATCACAGGCATGGAAAGTGTGGGCGAGGCATTGTTTGTCGATCTGTCTGTCTCCCCGTGTGTCGACGTATGGTAAGACTGTAGGACCCTTTGACTGGCTGCCTGCACATCATCTAAGCCGATATCGCCTTCCCATGCTGTCCCGGTCACGCCCAGGAAGCGGAGTGCTTGCGCATCCTCTGGTAATCTCACGGGAGCGCCATACCATGTGTTACCCTGGTCCCCGGAGACCGACCATATTGTGGTCCACCACATGCCGTGCCAGACTTGAAGTGCTATTTGGCCCATGTGGCCTCCGTACATGTGGTAGCGGAAAAGCACGTATCTCTCTGCACCGTCGCCCTTTCCGAACACGGGGCTTTCCAGGACAAACTCCTCTGCAGATCACTTGGCACGGCAAGCTCGGAACCAGATCTTAACATGACTCAGCACACTACCCGCAGAACACTGGATTTCGTTTACACTTACCATCTTCGTGCAGCTGGCATGGGACATTGTCCTGCAACCTAGCTAGCAGCCTGCTTTCTCATTGGAGAACGCTCTAGGGCTCCTAGAAAGCATTAAGAGCCTTCTGCGAACCTCAGCAAACACTTTTCTCGGAGACTGTCAGGTCTCCGCGGATGCTGTGCCCTAAAACCCGAAGCTGTGCTGAAACTCGAAGACCTTAGACAAGTCCCTACCTCGTAGGACACGTGAACGGAGCATGATGGAGCTGCGTTGTTGACCGGACACGCTATCTCGCACGTTAAGCTCAAATGCCTAAACCCCAAACTCCCGAAACCCTACAACCCTAAGGCCGAATCCACCTAAACTTAGAGATAGGAGAGGGTGAGGCGAACACTTACTCCTGAAACCATCACGCAATTTTTGCAAAAGCAACGTTGCCCTCCGTCCAGAATCAGAAACCATGCTATGGACGGATCCACAAGGTGGAGATTCTGAAGACTCGTGCCTCCCTGTTAGATTCCCGCCTTGTTGGGATAATTCGAGTTCGCCTCCAGGTACATGTAGTAGTCGCCATCGAATGCACCCGAGGGTCCTGTACTAGAGGACGGTGTCCCGCCAGTTCTCCTCATCCACGCCTCGGCAAAGTCATGCACAACAGACAGTGCATCGCTTCGAGGAGAGGCCAATCCTGTACCAGGCCAAGCCCTCGGGCTGAATGTGTTTACGATCTGTGGTCCACGCTGTCCTTATGGAGGAGCCCTCAAAGTTGCCACTGCCCCTTTTAGGCTGTTGGATGTGCATACAACCTGTGACGTTTAAAGAAAACATTCAACACAGCCCGCCATCCTCCTATTCACTTTGTTTTTTGATGTAGCCGTCCCTGTGTGCGACATCGGAGCTTGATGAATCTGTGTCTTGCGGCAAACCTGAAGCAGAGATGTTTGTGGCAAGCACCCCGTGCAAAGTGCGCCTGGTCATTCATGGCTCTCCAGCCGCAGGAGTCCGTCTCAAAGCTGCACGCCACGATATCGTAGGTCGGCAATTGGGTTGCTGTTGAAGAGTTGGAAGTCTGCAATGAATCCAAAGCCATGTCGCCTTCATACCCATTCCTCGTGATACCCAAGAAGCGCAATGCTTGCGCATCATCCGGCAATCGTACATCGGCTCGATTCCAGACGCCGCCCTGGTCACCAGACGGTGACCACTCTGTGGTCCAGTTCGCGCCATCCCAAGACTGCAGCATCAGGCGGCCCATTTCCGACGTATTCATGTGATACTGAAACTGCAAATGCCTCTCTTCGCTGTCGCCTTTTGTGAACTCGGGGCTCTCCAATGCAAAAACCTCCGCACATGAATGGGATGCATCGAACACCATGGGTTAGCAGGCCCAGTTCCGTTCGCGCCTGTCCGTCTGTGCGTGTGCGCGTGCGCGCGCGCATTGCGCATGCGCATGGGCGCGTGCGTGTGCCTGTGCGTGTGCGTTTGCTTGTGCTTGGGCAGCGTGTGGCGGCAAAGGCTGACCCCTGCTCCACTACGCTTCCCCACTGCGCTGTTGTTCGAGTCAGGTTGATTCGACTCGTTACCAGCTTTGGTACTTGTTCATAAGCCTTCTTTCTGAGCTCCAAGCAACCCTGATGTCCCTTCTGGGCCAAGCGGCTGGTAGCACACCTCACTCATGCTGTTTGGCCTGTTGTTTGAGTCCACTCGACTGGGGACCCGCTTCATACAGAGCAGCAACTCTGTCTGTCTGTCCCTCGAGGAGTACCCGGGAGTTGGCACGGTGTAAACGGAAACCTGCCACGCTCATCGTTAAGGTTACTCAATGGAACAAGAAAGGGAAGGAAAAACTGACGGGTCGAAGCCGGACTCGCTAAAGCCCCTGTGATCCTGAGCGGTCCGTGAGGGGCCCCAGCTCCGTAGCAATTTGAAAAGGTTTCGACTCTCACACTCGCACGCAGCAGGCAAGGCTCATGGTTTGAAAAGGTTTAGGGTTTAGGGGTGCAAGCTGAATGGCTTGTTGTGCTTCCAATGCGCAATACGATCGGCAGCACCTTTTGTGTCGAAGGAAAAGACCAGGCTGTGTGCTGAGCTAGAGTGCCACGATCCGCTTGCATGGTAGCGGAGCCGATTCGGATCAGAGGATCCGGAAGCTCCAGGTGGTGAGACCGTGGGCCTTGACGAGCGTCCGCTGTCAAGGTCCGCAAGGATGTCAGAACTGCGCTATACGAAGGATGGAGTGCCAATCTTCGATGGCTCTCCAGAAAGTTTCGTTGGTTACCAGCGAGCCGCGCTGGTGTATGCTGAGACGGTGGAATGGAAGAAGAGGTCCTTGGTAGGACCCCGACTGCAGGCTGCGCTAGAAGGAAGTGCCAAGTTAGCTGTCGAACATATGGCCCCGGGCTGGGTATCTCACGAACAAGGTGCTTCGCAGCTCCTCCAGTACCTGAAGAAGCAAGTGAGAGCCCCGACGTTAGCAGAGGCTGGAAGGACGATGTCTCGCTTCTTCTACGGAGTGAAACGTCGCCGAGGCGAAGGTATGACAGCTTGGATCGTCAGACATGATGAAGCACTTCTGGAGGCTAAGCGCACCTTAGCAGAGGCAATTCATGAGTATGGTCCGAACCATACCCGTGCCAGCTCCACATCACCAACGAGAAAGTCTTCGTCGTGGCAAGGGTACAGCCGCGCAGGAACCCCAGTGACACCGTTCGAGCCCGAACCAGCGGCAGATGAGGTTGAGGAGAATGCCGCTTCAGAGATTCGGGAGGATGACTACGAGCCAGAGGCGCCGGCAGAGATGACAAACGAAGAGGACGATGATCGCTGGAATTCCTGGTGGCAAGGCACATGGTGGCAGTCCCAAGACTGGGACACCTGGTCATGGAAGGCTTCCGGTGACCAAGGAAGCCCCGCAGGCTCATGGAAGCCCCGCGGCTCTCCTAGCAGGGCGTCCTGGGACGCCACGCCAGTGAGGCGGCCTCAGCACAGGCAGAGAAGTTTCTTCCTGACTTTGTGATAGCGTGGCTATTACTGCAGAGGTCAGGTTTGGATGCTACAGAGCGAAGTGTTATCACTGCTAACCTCAAGAACCAGTTCACTACTACTCGAGTGAAGGAGGCCTTGAAGTTGACATGGCCAGATGAAGAACTGAAAAAGAGGGACAGCACGAAACACTCTGCGATGTTTACTGCTGAGGAGGCCGCATTGTTGGCCGAAGCCGATGAGGAGGATCATACAGAGCCTCCTTCCTGGGACAACGCCGAGGAGGAGCACGCGTACCAGGCCCTGGAGGATGATGCTCAGGAGGCCTTCGCTGCAATACAAGAGGCTCGCAGAACACTGCGAGATGCACGAGAGAAGCAGTCCCAAATGCGGCGAAACAGGAGCTTCTTCCCTCCAAGCAAGGGCTATGGGAAGGGGTCAGGCAAGCAACGGAACTCCGACCGACCCCCTATTCGCTGTTTCAAGTGTGGTGGGCCTCATCGCCGTCAAGATTGCCCTGAACTCAATGAGAAGCCAGCGAACGAGCAGGTGAGCTTCGTCTTCAGTGCTACCGAGGACACTTCCGAGAGCCATGGAGGAGCTGCGGAGCCAGAAGGGCCAGAAGAGACAGCCTTAGCAGCACAAGTCGAAGTCTCAATGCTCGCCTTGCAGGATGCTATTCAGCAAGGGAAGGCAGTCATCGACGGCGGGGCCACAAGCAGCTTGGGTTCTGAGGAGGCGATGCAGGCCATAGCCAATCTGAATTGGAGGAACAAGGGCAGTGATGGGATTGAGATTCTGTCGCACGAGACCCCCTCTTTCAGATTCGGCAATAATGGTCAGCAGTCATGCATGGCAACGGCCCTCCTCCAGACTCCAGCCGGCGATAAGGAGGCCAAGATGCGCATTCATCTTCACGACATTCCAGGTCAACCTGTGCTTTTGAGTGTGAAGAGTTTGCGATCACTTGGAGCAGTGATAGATTTTGAACGGGATGAAGCCATTTTCCGACGGCTTGATCCTTCGAAGGTGGTGCGACTAGAGACTACCGATAGCGGCCACCAGCTCTTTCCTCTGGTGGAGAACGTGCTCAATCATGCGAGTCACCGTAGGGTTCCCTTCAGGACTTTGTTTGGAGATGAAGGGTTTGAGAAGTGGAGCTCCACCGAGGAATAGGCACAACGCCTTCTGGTGGACCACAGCGCACCAGCTCACCAGAAGGATTGTGAAAAGATTTGTGCGCATGCAGAAGTGTACAGTGAAGGTTCAGACAGTCTTAGGGCATGTAATCATGTGGTTGGTGAGTTGTCTGACAGTCAGACAAGGCCAGGATCTGCACCCTCCGAGGACGACGGAGGAACCCTGGAGCCCTCTTCTAGACGTCTTTGAAATCAATGGGAAGCCAAGGCTCAACAGCTCCTGAATCAACAGGTCACCAACAAAGCCCTGAAAGGTTTCTTGCGTCAGGTCCCTTGGCATGCCTTCCAAACCAGCAAACACACAAGTCGTAGGCCCCAAGATCCCGGAAACCCTGATCAAACCAAAGAACCAGCCTATGTCATCTTTGGAACCTATAGCCATGGTGGTGTTGTTGGGGTGACGCGAGTCACCAAAGAGTGTCCGTCGATGTGTCGGGTGGTGATGAGGGTAATGAATTCCATGTGCTCCGGGGAAAGAATGACTTCTGTGTGTGTCTCATGTAACATTCAATCACCTCCACATCGGGACAGTTACAACACCGAGTACTCCTTGAATCATGTGGTTCCTTTGGTGAGGCCGCGAGTTGGGGGTGAACTTTGGGTTTCGGGCGGACAGGTTTCAGGTCCAAGGGCTCTCCTGAAGTGTGGTGATGTGGATTTGGAAGGAAATAAGACAACGCTTTCCAAGGTGATTCGGTTCGATGCCAGGAAATGGCATGCAACTATGCCGTGGCAGGGTGATCGAGTGGTTCTGATTGGGTATAGTCTTAAGGGTGCCCAGAAGTTGGACCAGGAAGCTAGGAGTCTCTTGAAGCGTAGAGGTCTGCTGCTCCCATGTAGACTTCCCCACTCGAAGAACACCATCTCGCCTTGCCAAGCATCTCAAGAGGACCCAAGGTGTTACCACGCTCAAAGTTCCTCCGAGGGTCAGCATGTCGGGCGCGAAGATCACCAAGGCCGAGCTTCAGAAGCGACTCCAGATGCTGGGGGAGACTCCCCCAGCTGGCTGGACCAAGGTGCAGCTAGCCTCGAGGCTCGCCGAGATCTCCGAGGAGAGCGAGTCGACCCTCTCCGAGCGCGATGCAGCGAAGATGGTGAACAAGTGCAAGACAAAGGTGGCCTTGCAGGAGCTCCTGACCGAACACCAGGTGTACTACACCAAGCACCAGAACTCCGATCAGCTGAAGAGTTCCATGCTCAAGTACCTCATGGAAAACAAGGTTCCAGCTTCGGAACACAACTACATGGGGTTTGGGAAGCACTCCCAGCTGACGTACGGGGAGACTCTGGTGTTCATGCCAGCCTATGTGGAGTGGTGTGTGAACACAGCGACCGAGGAGGCGGAATGCCATTGGAGACTTCGCCGCTTTGCTCGTTGGGTACAAGGCCTGGGGGAAGGCGAGAAGAAGGAGATCACGAATCGGACTCAGCTCGAACATCACGGAAGCCCTCCCAAGAAGGGCTATGCAGCCACATCAGCGAGCAGCTCTACCGCCAACACCGAGAACAGGTGGGAGATGGTCAGCGACCTCGAGATGATCCCGGCGGAGGGCCCGGATCAAACAGCGAAGATTCGCGAGCTGGAGAACGAGCTGAAGCAACTGCGGGAGATGATCCAGGCGAAGACCGAGACCGACAAGGAACAGTCGAGCACACGCAAGAAGGCCAACCGCAACGACGAGCTCTAGAGATGCTTGAGCCCGATGACCTCGGACTCCGGGATGATGAGGCTGAGGAAGATCTACAGCCTGGTACCATATGCCAACTTCCTTTCAGGACAGCTAGGGCTTTAGGAAAGGGTTATGAAGAGAGTTTGATGAGTTCGTTTCAGGAATTAGGTCCGGGAAAGGTGATGTTGCTTGAGGTTGGAAGTTCCGAGAGAAGTTCCCTTGTGCTTGAATGTGAAAAGGTGTTCGGAAAGGGATCGGCAATCCACGTGTCCAGTTGGAATGGTGGAGATCTTGAGACACCAGAAGGCCGCAGGTATGTTCAACGCCTTATTTCCGAAACGAATCCTCTCTGTGTGTGGTTTTCCCCTGACACGAACCCTTACTCCCCAGCTCAAAGGTTATCACAGCGGACTTCAGAA